CGCACATTAAGCAAAAAATCTACGCACTTTAAGTATTAACTCACAGACCTTAAGTTTCAACAACTACTGACATTAAGCACAAACTCACGCACATTAAGCACAACCTCACGCACATTAAGCACAAAATCCACGCACTTTAAGTATTAACTCACAGATCTTAAGTTTCAACAACTACTGACATTAATCACTAACCTCACGCATATTAAGCACAAACCCTACGCACATTAAGCACAAACTCCACTCACATTAAGAACAAATCTCACGCACCTTAAGCACAAAAGCACACGCTTTAAGTTTTAACAACTACTCACATTAAGCACAACCCCACGCACATTAAGCACAAAACTCACGCACCTTACACACAAGACTCACGCATCTTATAGACAAAACTCACGCACATTAATCACAGAACCGCTCACCTTAATTTTGACCTAGATGCAAAAATTACAAAATTGCCACCGCATTTTTTTAAAAAATTTTTGGTAATCCTAGACGTTGATTTAAGCGAGATGAATGGTCCAGATTAAACCGCACAACCGCACCTGGGCACCCTAAGCGCACCAGAAGAGTGTTATTCATATAAGGATTTGATGGTTTTATTGGGACAAGGTATAGGAACATAGGACGAGGGTAGGAAAGTAATGACTTTATTAACCAGGGCAGTAGGCCCAAAATAGTACGTACAAGCCCGAGGTACAGGCCCAAATACAAAGAACGCGGCCCAAGGAATGGGCGCACTATAGCTAGATAGGCTACTGAAAGAAATCGAACCCAGGTGGCTGGGTTGGAAGTATAGACCATGGACCAAAAGACCAGTGTGCATGTCGTGTCTGAGTTGCCCCCTAGCAAAAGATCCAAGGCCCCTATTTATAGCAAGCCCCCCTCCCCCTTTGGCGTTTGCGTGTCCCACGTTGTTACTCCTCCACTCTGCCTATTTGTCGCCATGCACGTCACGTCGCCGCTATCCCCGCGACTCCCGCATCCACACAGTGCACCGCGTCCCTCCCCCCTGTCCACTGTGCACCCGTGCGCGAACTCCTACCCTCGCGTACGGGTGCCGACCGCCGCCCTAGCGCGCTAGGGCAACGCTCGGTCGCGCTGGGTGTGCCGTCACCGGCCGGGGCCTGTGACCGGATCCGGCCGCCGTCGCCGGCGGCCTCTCCAGCCATGGGCGCTGGCCGGCCACCGCCCCGGTGGCCTCGCACGGGGGCGCTACACCCGCGCCCAGTCGCGCATCATGCGCTGGTCGCGCCACCAGGCACGCTAGCCGCCCTAGGCAAGGGCGCACCGCCCGAGCCGATTCCGCCCGTCGCCGGCGACGCTTCCCGATGACACTATAGCTAGATATGCTACTGAAAGGTATCGAACCCAGGTGGCTGGGTTGAAAGTATAGACCAAGGACCATTAGACCAGTGTGCATGTCATGTCTGAGTTGCCTCCTAGCCAAAGATCGAGGGCCCCTATTTATATAGAAAGCCCTCCTCCCCCTTTGGCGTCCGCGTATCCCACGTTGTTACTCCTCCACTCCGCCTATTTTTCGCCATGCATGTCTAGTCGCCGCTATCCCCGCGACTCCCGCATCCACATCGCACACCGCGTCCATCCCCCCTGTCCACGGTGCACCCGTGAGCGAACTTCGTGCCAACCGCCACCCCAGCGCGCCACAGCGCTAGGGCCACGCTCGGGCGCGATTGATGTGCCGTCACCGGCCGGGGCCAGTGACCCCATCCGGCCGCCGTCGCCGACGGCCTCTCCAGCCAAGGGCACTGGCCGGCCACCGCCCCCGTCGCCTCGCACGGGGGGGCTACGCCCTCGCCCAGTCGTGTATGCTTAATATCGAGATAGATTCTCTTTCTTTGGTCCATAATGTTTCTTCTACAACAGCTCGGATTCCATGAAAAATCAAGGAAGCAATTTTTGTTATTCGCTCTTGCCTTGCGACTTGGGTTCCACTTTAACGCATGTCTATCGGGAGGCCAACCAGGTGGCTGATGTCTTAGCAGCGAAGGGAACCTCTAGTCCTTCCCTTTTATGTTCTATAAGTTCTTTACCTTTAAAGGCCAAATTAGCTATTTTGTATGATTTTAATGGATTTACCTCTTCTCAGACTATTCATCATCAATAAAGATTAATCTTTTTGCTTTATATATATATATATATATATATATATATATATATATATATATATATATATATATATATATATATATATATATATATATATATATATATGTATTCAAATGAGGACAAGGATATTATAGAGGATTGTGAGGACTAATTTGGTGCATTGGATTGTAATAATGGGTGTTGTAGATTAAGGGAGATTATTATGATTAAATGGAGAGTTTTAATGTGATGCGTGGTTTTTTTTTTAATTGTAGGGGGTAGTTCGGTAATTCAATAATTGTGTTTTTTGTTGCACCCTTTTTGTCGGATAGAGTTTGTTTCGTATGCGCACTAACTCTCTCTCCACTTTGAACTTTTTCCAATTGTTTTTTTTTTTTTTTTGTTTTTCGAGCACGGTGCGATTCACTCCTCTCGTTGTAGTCCGCGGTCGTAGTAATGGCCGACGTTGGTGGTCGTCGAAGCGGACGGCGGCAGGTGGGGGCTCTCGTCGGTCGAAGCGGAAGGCTGCATTATCTCCAGCAGCGGTCACCCAGGTATGTTTATTAAACCCTAGTTTTTCTATTTCTGCCCCCTTTTTTTTCATCTGTGTGTGTTTTTTCTTGAAATTGCAACTCAGTTTAAATGAAAAAACATAACTATACTGAAATTTAACATTTTTTTCTAAAAGTGGCGCATGCATATCCTTTAAGGCATTATCTCAATTGAATCATGCCAATATTGCATATTTGTGGCTTTTTGTGTTCCCTCTCTTGAATTGAATAGCATTCTTTTATGGAAAGAATGCAGGAAAAAATTTTGAAAACTTGTTTAGTGAGGGTTTTCATCATTGTTAGAATTCATATTGTAATCATCATATATTTGTGACTCATGAGATCTTACTGGGCAAAAAAAAAAAAAAGTAGATGATATATGATACAATTCATTTTGGATGGGAGTTTGGGTGGGACAGGACCAGAAAAGGAATAACTACTTCACTACTTCCTAATAAAAAGAGTTTTTTATAGTTAAAATCTTAGTGTGTTAAATTGCAGAACTGAAAGGGTCAAGTAGCGAAACCAAAGGTGTAAAACCCGAATGCTCAACCATGTAAATGCCAACATGAGATATGTTTTTGAGAGGTCAGGTGTATCCTGTAGGACAATATAAACACAAGCAATGTGGGAGGTCAATCTGGTTAGCATTTTTTTATCACTGTCGTTTCTCTTAATTGTGAATTAGGGAGGTAGTCATGGGCAGTGTGCACTGCAGTTAGTGGTTATGTACCTCTTGCATGGTTCTTGTGTGCCTATACTGCGCCCTCACCCCTTATAAGCAATGGGGGGGAAGTTAATCTGATTAAAATTTCTGATAACTTTTGTTTCTCTTAATTATGAATTGGGGAGGTAATCATGAGCAATGTGCAATTCAGTTAGTGGTTGTGTGCCTCTTGCATGGTTCTTGTGTGCCTATACTGTTTCTTACTCGTTCGGTTGTTAATTTCGGGTAATATTTTGATTATGTCTCGTCTACTATTCCGCAGTTGTTCTTCCCGATTATGCAAAGCAATCATTTCTATGTCGCCTGTGTGGACTTTGTGAGTGAACGCATTGACATTATTGATAGTTCTGCTTCGACGGAGGTCACTTCAAAGAAGTATGGTGACACTTTTGTTCATTTGGTACGTTATGTTACGGTTCTTTTTTTTTTTCCTTTTTTTTTTGTTTATGTTGCTTTTCGGTTGGTAGATGATGATGGTACTTTGTCTTTTGTAGCAATTATTGTTGTTCGAGGTTTTCAAAGCCATTAATGAGGGATATAAGATGGGTATGTGTCTTGATTTAAAGACCAAGAGGATATCGATGAAGTGGCAGGACTCAAGGAACAAAGTCGACAGTGGGGTTTATGCTATGCGCCATATGGAAACTTATGTTGGACAAGGGGTGGCGAGATGGGAGTGTGGTCTAGTTAAGGGCGACATAGTAGCTCTTGAGCGCTTACGCTTTCAGTACATGAAGGAGATTTGCAATGTAGATATCAGTGCCAATCGTACGAGTAATGTGGCAAATGTGGTGCGCTATCTTTCGAGATGAGGGAGTAGGACCACAGTTTAGGTAGTTATATGGGGTTTTTGGTGCCTGACTAGTTTTTTTGGTAGCTTCTGGGTTTTAGTATATTGGACATTGTCATGATTTGTGTATGCTTTAATGTTCTGTTACTGCTTTCATCCGTAAACTTTGTGTATAACTTAGTTGTCGGATTTTTTGGAATATTAATATGTTTTTGTCCTGCAATTTTGGCGTTTAGTTGTTGGTCATTTTATGTGCTTTTTTGTCTAGTTCGTGTGCCTGTGAAGTCATTTTCCATATTGATACGACGTGTTTAATGTGTTTGGCAGTTTTTTTTCTTGTGTGCTCAGCTCACAGTTCATCTGTGCCTCAGTTCGCTAAATTATGTGCAATGGTGTGAAATAGTTCGTGGGTGCCATCAATAATCTTTGCTAGATGCAACCTAGTGGTCGTAGTTTTAATCTTTGGCCGGTCGCTGAGCCGTTTTCAATCTGTTTGTTCTGTTTTTTTTTTCGCATGCTCAACTCTAGGTATATTTGTGCCTCGATTCCCTAAATTGTGTGTACTTGTGGCTAATAAATATATAGGCGTGGTCACTATTCTTTCGTAGATGCGGTCTTGAATTCTTTTCGTGTGCTCAACTTTAGGTATATATGTGCCTCAGTTCCCTAATATGTGTGTACTTGTGGCTAATAAATATATAGGCGTGGTCACTATTCTTTCGCAGATGCGGCCTTGAATTCGTAATATTTTGAGAGTACATACTGTTTAAAATTATTGAATGGAGTATAGGAGCTCGGACAGTTTTTTTTTTTTTTTTTTTTTTTTTTTTTTTTTAACAAAGTGTGTTAAAAAAAATCATATCCATACAATCCTAGATAGTTAATGGATGAGATCGTTCTACATAGCAGTATATTTCACGCCTAAAATAATTAAAAGAGGGCAAATAAGAGATTTCAGAGCATGTTTAATTACAAAAGGAATGCAATCCCGTTAAATATAAGTGGAGGAGGTGTAATACAGAAGGGAATCAAACACTAATTACGGTCGTGGGATGTTCATCGACGAATGAGCAAGACAGACGAGGCGGAGAGAAGCTCTTCTATCCACGGCCATGGACGCAGGCGAAACCAGTGGTAATGGAACATCCATGAACGACAACGACTACATATTTTTGGAGACAACAATTGATGAGGAAGACGATGAAGGGCAGGCGGACGAGAGAATGAAACCTGAATAACAACCCGACTGAGAGTTTTACGTTTCAGTATAATGAATTGAAAACTGTGTGCACTTAAGCGTAAAAATGGAAGCCAATATTTACTATGTTGTGTGCCCCTACTGTGCACGGCATATTGCAGTAAATATAGCCTAGAATTAACGTTGAACGACTGGAAAATCAGAAGAGTGGCCACAATCTGAAATGTGTGCAGGTACAAACTGGTATTTGTGTCATTCACCGGGATAGACAACCACAAAAAAGTGCGTAACTTTTGGGGCTGGTCTTATAGCAAAGGAAGATATACCATCTTACGTGTCGCTCCTAGATGCTTTTAAACGATGTATGGGGCACGCACCAACTTGTATCATAACGGACCAAGACGATGTGTGGCTCTTATATTGCATTTCTCTGTTCATCACTTGTATTTGGAAACAGCGTATGCATACGCCAATAACAGTATGTGCAATTTATTACTTATTCTTGCACTGTATTTTTTCTTAGTTTTGGTAGTGTGTGTATTTTGGCATCAACTGTGTATATATATATATATATATATATATATATATATATATATATATATATATATATATATATATATATATATATATATATATATATTAGTTAGTTGGCATTAGATCAAACAAAAACATGAATTTTAGACAAACAAGTGGTGTACGTGTGTACGTGCATAATGTGAGATATAATTAAGAAAGAAGTGTGCGGATATTGTGTAGAAGAAGTGGGAAATGGAAATGAAAGAGTATTAGCGATATATCAACTGTGGCCATCCGAGTTTTAAATGATCTCCAATGGTCATCTATGTTTTAAAAAATAACAATTCGTGGTTCAGATGAGAACGGTGGAGAAAACTCAGAACGCATGACAATCGGTCACATATTTAGATCTAATGGATGAGGAACACTGATTTAAAAAAAAAAATCGGTGGCATTTTAGTAAATAATTAAACATCGAAGTGCAAGTAAAATACTAAAATGTATCACAAGTGCAAGTAGCAGTTTCATATAGTGCACTCAAGTGCAAGTAAAATTTATTACAAGTGCAAGTAAAATGTATTACAGTTGCAAGTAAAATTTACACTGAGTATCAATACTAATTAAGTGCACCTAACATTATAACTAGTTGCACCTAGGTGCGCGAATGTTAACAAGGTAAATTACTTGCACTTGTAAGTGATTTTACTTGCACTTTTTACTTCCAAAGATGCACCAGCTACTTGCACTTATAACACATTTACTTGCGCCAAAGTTCGAGTTATTTACGAAAATGTCACCGCGTCGTTTTTCTTTTTTTAAATTACATCTGATTCGTTGATCTGGACACGTGGACAGCTGTAAATGGGTCTTATTTCTCTCCTGAGCGGTCGTTCGCATTAGAGTGTGCCCATATATATATATATATGGTCGCACTCCTGTGCGAATATGTGCCCAGGAGAGAAATGCGAATGCATGCCAGCCATCCATGTGTCCAAATCAACGAATCATATGTAATTTTTTTTTTTTTTAAAAAAAAAACGACGCGGAGGTATTTTTGTAAATAACTCGAACTTTGGTGCAAGTAAATGTGTTATAAGTGCAAGTAGCTGGTGCATCTTTGCAAGTAAAAAGTTCAAGTAAAATCACTTATAATTGCACTTATTTTCACTTACAAGTGCAAGTAATTTTACCTTATTAACATTCGTGCACCTAATTATAACGTCAGGTGGACTTAGTATTGATGCTCAGCGTAAATTTTACTTGCACCTATAATACATTTTACATGCACTTGCAATACATTTTACTTGCATGTAATTTTGTGTTGTTAACATTCATTGATCGGGTGCACCTACTTTCACCAACAAGTACACCTACTTTCACCTACAAGTGCATGTAATTTTGGATCTACTTTCACCTACAAGTGCATGTAATTTTGCCTTGTTAACAATCTCGGGTGCACCTACTTTCATATAGGTGCACCTAGATCTAGACACGTAGCGCACACTGAATTATTCGCATTTCGCTCCTAGGCGAGTCACTCGCACCTAAACGCAACTATATATATATGTGTGTGTGTGTGTGTGTGTGTGTGTGTGTGTGTGTGTGTGTGCTGGATCCCATGAGGACTCATCCTTAGTGAGGACGTGTTGACTAATCTAGAATGACCATTTGGATTTTTCTTGAGGCTACAATTTTTTGAATAATTAAATGCATCTTTTTATTAACTAATGCATCATGGGAATTAAGGTAATTTTTGACAGTTTCCTTTAGCATGGCAACTGCTTTCACGTTAATTTTCTTGATTGTAGGCATATACACCCATGATTTCTACGGTATACATTTGTATGAGAAACACCACTATAACGCACTTTATGCTTCCTCACAGTGCACATCAACTTTAACCACAATGCACTGCCTATCTCACCATGAAAAATGTAATTGCACAACAAAATGACTACGCGTGAACATGTAGAATGGTAGTTAAATTTGAATTGATCTATAATCATTCATTTATTTAAATTAATTGATCAAATAAGTCCACACGTCCTTACAGTGCCCGTACCATACTTAGACTAATCCTCATTAGCACCGGGTTCCTAATTGTGTGAGGCACCTTTAAGCCCGTACCATACTTAGATTAATCCCCATTCGCACCGGGTCGGCCCAATTAAGGGACAAAGTGCTGGCCAGATTTATTTTTCCATACGAGAGGGGGTTCAAACTCTCGAACTCTCGTAAGGGATGAAAGTGCACGGCCACTCACGCCAACCAACCTGATTAACTACAACTCTAATTTGATTGCTACTTCTATAACAACTATCCCAAATTGAGTTTTATTTTGATTGTCTTCTATGAGTTTTTTTTTTTTTTTTTTTTTTTTTTTTTTTTTTTTTTTTTTTAACTACGTACAATAATCAAATTTCTCAACTATAACCAAATTTCTCAATTGCACATATTTTTCTTGTTTGATGAGTTTCAATATGGTCACTACAACTCTAATTTTATATCTCAGACCATCTTTCTATTCATTCCACTTCACTGCTTCATTAGCTTCATGTATCTCATCTCTCTGCTAGCCATCTCTTTGTTAGACTTTTATCTCTTTATCTTTATTCATTTCTTTATTCAATTCATGCATCTTCCTCTTACACTAACTGATTGTCTTCATTCTCCGTTGGCTTTTTGAGATAAGATAATGCTTATCCGTCCATCTTGCTGTGTTCACGTCTATCTTCTCTATTTTTATTCCATACTTAGCTTGTACTTTTGCAACGTCGTTCAATCTCTTAGAGGAGTAAATGTGATTATCTTTTGATTTTACAAATAATTCTAGATAAATTGGATTAAATTACGTGATCTCGTTTTACGTGAGATACTGAGATATATAGTATTGTTAGTTAAAATGTAATACTTTTTTATAGAAAAGTATTAATCATCTCACGGTCCGATAGTCTCACACAACTACGCAAGACGTATTGTTAAATTAGAGGTTTTAATTTTCTAATTTAATTCTTACGTCTTGCATCATTAAAATCTAATTACACTCTATTTCTAAAATATTTTACGTACTAAATCATAATATTACGAGTTAACCAAACTCACCAAATATGATACTCTTTCAAAAGAACAATGAAAAGGAAAATAATAAAAGTATTTGAACCACATATACAATTATCAATTCAAATAAAATATAGAGGCTCGAAGTTAGATTATAATGCTACTTGCAAAAATTAGTTGCGAAATCATTCTCAAAAATTAACTTTGAAAAGAACATTTGATTAAAGAAAGATCCCACACATAAAAATCCAGTTGAAAATATATTTCGTGTTAGAAGAATTAACGATTTTATTTGAAGAATTAACGATTTTATTTGACAATAAAGGCTGAGGAAAAGTTGTTATTTGTTTTATTCCCCTTGAAAAGACGTCTAAGGACTACTCTTATCACCAAAGATTTTCAAAGTTTTGGAAGAATATGAGGCTATAAATGTGTTGAAGTCACTGCCAATTCTTGCCACCCCTATGAAAACTGACATTTTCATACAAACAAATAATCAACTTGGGCGGACTACTTTTCAGGTTCCTATCCCTTCTAACATAACTTCAATAATATATAGTCAGGGGATTGAGTCTTACCAGCAGCAGTGTGGGAGCAACCTCTCAGCTCAAAGTGAGGGGGCTCTTTGTGCACAGCCTCTGTGATTCATGTCCAGTTGAATTACCATGATTTACATCCTCCCAGATGCTCTGTTGGGCTCTTAGAGTTGGAGTTCGACCTTTTGGAAAGAATAATATATAGCCTTTTCAAGGAGAAAAAATTTAATCAACAATAGGACGACTTTGAATTAATGATAGCTCGCTCAACTATAAACATTAATATCTATGAATACATGAATGCATGTATTCAATACAATGTATATATGGACTCAATGCCTTAATTATTGGCATATCTAATATATTTTTTGCCCCTTAATTATTCCTAAAGTGATAGTTTTGATCATTTGTATTAATATTCTTCTATTAGACACTTAAATGACAAGGACCGGTAAACTTTAAAACTTAGATTTTCTCTTTTTCTTCCTGTATAAAATACACATTCTTAGCATTCTATCTAGTGAGTTTATTTGACAAACTTCAACCATATTTAAGTCTTGGGAATTTTTACTAAAACAATACATGGACTCAAACATATGGCATCTTGTTTAGAAAAGGGACCTAGATAAATGAACTCAACTATAGGAATATTGAAAGAAACAAACCAATATACTTAATATCTGAGAAATAATTATTTTGAAAGTTATAAAAAGTTCATATCTTGACAAAATTCAATGCATTAGACCTCTCGTTCAAATAAGGCACTCAAACTCCTCACTTTTTGTTAGTACAAATGGTTGAAAAGTCAGATTATCAGTAATTTAAATATTGACAAAACTAATATATATACTTCAATTAAAAAAATAGAAAACACAATTTCAAATAAGTCATAGATTTACCATATAGTCATTGTAGTATTGATTGGTCCAACATGACTAGTAACATATGTAGAATTAATTAAGATATAGATATTTATGAAGATCATCACATCAAAGTAATAAAACTTAAAAGGTGGTGGGCAAGACCAAGAAAAGCATTATTTGGTAGGATTTGAGGATTGAAGGGTAGAAGATATTGAGAGAAATTAAGGTGAGTTGTGGCCTTGAAAATTGAAATAAAGCACATCTATTGGTCGGACGGCAGCTGACGACGAATTGAACCTTAATAGAGCCCAATTGGTCGGTGATGGTATCACATGACCAGAGAGGTGTCTGGAGTCTGGACCCATTGCGAAATATTGCTCATTCAATTAATTGGAAACTTTATGGTAAAAAACAAAATAGAACTTTCAGCCAAGTTGCTCATGATTCGGCAAATTTTATGATCTACACGGCTGTGTGAACCAATACCATGGTCTAAAATGATTTTAATATATAAAAAAAAATTAAAAAAAAAATGATACTCGTTCCGTATATAATTAGTTATGTTTTTATAACATATTCAGTTTCATTTTATATACATTGTAGTTTCATTTCAACACAACTAAAGTTTCATTTTGTTTCAACTACAGTTTCATTTGGCATTATACATACAACAGTAGTTTTATTACCGTGAGACCTGTTATTGAATTTCATTTTATACACAGTGTAGTCTTATTACAACACCTTTAGACAATATATATACTCAAATATGTGAAACTGTTATTCAGTTTCATTTTATATTACATTGTAGTTTCATTACAAAACAACTAAAGTATCATTTTGATATAACTATAGTTTCATTTGACAATATACACTCAATATATGAGACATGTTATTCAGTTTCTTTTTATACATACTTTAGTTTCATTTCAGCAAAACTAAAGTATCATTTCAATTCAACTACAGTTTTATTTAACAATATACACTCAATATGTGAGACATGTTATTCCGTTTCATTTAATACATACTGTAGCTTTATATCAACACAACTAAAGTATTATTTCAATTCAATTAAAGTTTCATTTGATAATATAAACAGAATATGCAAGACAAGTTATTCAGTTTCATTTTAAATACATTATAGTTTCATTTTATTCTAAATACACCAAAAATACAAAATTTGTTAAAATTTAACGGCTGTCGTTTCTTTACTTAAAGAAACGACGCTGTTTTTGAACCATGATCTAGACAATTGTAGATCATGATTCACCGTATAACGACCGCTCATGATTCTTAGCCGCCCACACAACCGCCATGCATGTAATGCAATGGCCATTTACGGAGGTAGGGAAAATACTAACTCTATTTTCACACAATATTATTTTCATTACGTAATATGTAATATGTATTTATTGGCTCGTGAGAGATTAATTGTGTATATTTATTGACTTACACACTCAAAATGGTTAATAAGTTAATGAAAAATTATTTCTTTTTTAATTGAATTATGGAGTTGAGAACATAAATTTAAAAAAAAAAAAAAAAAAAAAAAAAAAAAAAAAAAAAGTTGACTTGTTTCACATTGAAAGAATATATGAGCGTGAACTAACTTAAAAAACGTATGTTTTTTTTTATAAAGTGTCAAATATGTTGAGTTAAAAGACTCTCTTTTATGCATGCATTGAGATGAGCAAATTTGAGTACAGATTTTCAATAATATATAAAGAAAAAATGGAAGAACGACAACTAATTACACCATGACAAGTTGACAACATATATACACTAAAAAAGTAAATAAATGGGAAAAAGTCCAAATTATGTACCTAATTTACTTCTTTTTTTTTTTTAAATACTTAGTGTACATAATTAAGGTGCAAAATACATGCATCTATATATATTAGTCTTTAAAAAGTTAAATCCAAATTCTCCGCGTTTTTTCTTCAATAAAATAAATAAACAAGGTTCCGAATTTCTTTGTAGTTGCTATTCAGTCTTGACATTTAAACGGCGAATGCCATGTAATTAAGAATCAGTCAATCCTTTACAAAAAAAAAAAAAAAAAAAAAAAAAAAAAAAAAAAAAGAATCAGTCAATCCATCCTCCCAAATGCTCTGTCGGGTCGGAGTGTGGGGGGCCTTTAGGGTTGGGGTTCAGCCTTTTGGAAGAAGAATCAGTCAATCCAAATCTGAAAATGTGTAAATGTGTAGATATTTTTATATCTATCTACAAACTTAATAAAAGTCAATAAAGTAAGACCTCTAACAGCAATTAAAAAAATGTTGGTGTAATTGTTTGTTAAAATAAATAATTTAAATTATGTACTCAAAAAAAGGGCTCATATTATTTTGATTTTTTTTATATATTATTTTTCCTATTTGACCTTCTATTATATCATTTACTTTTCCTAAATACCCTTATATTCCGTCGGTGTACACTTTAGTAACGAAATATTCCGTTAACTATTTATTATTCTTAAATTACTCATTGATGTTCATAGCGAAGGTCTTAGATTCAAACTTCATCAAAATCAAAATTAGCATTATTAGGCAGTTAGTTTATCTTGTTTGTTAAGTGTTATTCTTTAGGTATTTTCCTATTAGTATGCTAGTCTATGTGTATAAATACCATGTATCTTCTTAAGTGAATAATACATACAATACATAGAGATTTACTTCATCAATCTGGTATCACCGTATCAGTCTAGCTAGCCGTCATTTGATCCTATGGCCAACGATCAGAATAATCCTTCCCCACCTGCCACTAATGACGCCTCGGCAAATTCCACTGACCGGGCGCTAGCCGCCATACCCTCACCAGACGCAATCAACCAGAACCCTTTCTCTCCCAACATGCTTCATCAAGCTTACCACTATGTGTCTATAAAGCTGACCACCACAAACTATTTGTTTTGGAGAGCGCAGCTGGTTCCGTTTCTACGGGGCCAAAACCTCTATGGTTTCGTCGATGGCTCAATCGTGTGCCTGCTGGAGTTTACTGTTGCGTCCTCCTCCGATGCGCCTCCGGTAATCAACCCTCGCCATGCTCAATGGGTTCAGCATGATCAGTCCACCCTCAGCATGTTGATCTCTTCCCTTGCTGAGGAGATTTTCTACCTTTCAATCGGCCATTCTACGCCACGTTCAGTTTGGGTACGGTGGCGCTAGAAACCGCGCTCGGGTCCTCTTCGCGTGCGAGGTCGCTTAGTCTTCTATCGCAACTTCATGATCTCCGCCAGGGTGATTCCACTCCTTCGGAGTACCTTAGTCGCGCCCAAGTGCTCGTTGAACAACTTACACAGGACGGCCATTCGGTCAATCTCGACGAGCAAAATCTTCATGTATTCCGGGGTCTACGACCAGAATATAGTGCCTTCGTTGCCTCACTAACCACGAAGACTGCTCCCTTAACGATACCAGAAGTCGCCGATCTTCTGTCCACGCATCATTACTTGTTTCCAGATGAGGCACTATCTTCGGCGTCCCCGTCACCGACTGCTCTTCTAGTTTAGTAGCAGCCGGCGTACCGCCCTCCAAATGCCAATTGCGGTCGGGGCCGGAATCATAGAGGGCAGCATGGCAGCAGGGCAACGCGGTCGTGGTCAGATTCGATGTTAAATTTGTGACGTTCTCGGCCACACAGCATTAACGTGCTACCAAAGGTATGTGGACATCTCCGGCCAACACCCGTCTTCGCAACCTGGGAACCATGTGCCCGCTCATCATGCCAATGTTGCGTAACACCAGCAACAAGATGATTTTGGTTCTGCACCATTTGCCAATGTTTGGCTCCCCGACATCGGGGCCAATGCCCATGCGACGCCGAATGTCGGAGTCTTACATGACGCAGAACCTTATACGGGCAACGAAAGTTTAAGAGTCGGGGATGGCTCAGGTTTTTCCATTCTTAGTACCGGTTTCGTGTCCATTCCTACCTCGTTACGGTCACTGTCACTTACTAACATATTACATGTTCCCAGATTACATGCTAATTATTATCTGTGCATAAATTTATACAAGACAATAATGTCTATTTCGAATTTTACCCATTTTATTTTCTTGTGAAGGATCGTATCACCAACCAAACACTTCTTAAAGGTCCCAGGACCGGGGGGATGTACTCGCTCAGTACCTCAGCTCCGGTTGCCCTACTGTCTGATAAAGCGTCTCCCAAAGTCTGGCACAAACACCTCGGTCACCCGCATACCCGGGTTCTCAGTCAGGTTTTGTCTAGGTGTCCTGTCAGTGGTTCATTGCGTTCAATTAATAATGTATGCACTCCATGTCAGATGGGCAAGTCTGCGCATTTCCCACTGTCACAGATAAAACATTCTAGTCAATCTGTCCTCGATTTGATTTATACCGACATTTGGGGGCCCTCGTCGGTCACCTCTGTGGACGGTTTTAAATATTTCGTCCTGTTTGTCAACGACTACTCGAGGTACATTTGGTACTATCCAATGAAATATACAACAGATATTTATCCTATTTTTACTCAATTTCGTGCGTTCGTTGAAAAATATTTCTCAACTCCTATTAAATGTATACAGTTAGACCTGGGTGGTGAATATAAAAAATTGCACTCTGTGTTCACTACCGTAGGCATCTTGCATCGAAAGTCATGTTCGCAGACACATGAACAAAATGGCCTAGTTGAACGTAAGCATCGTCATGTTTTGGAAACCGGCTTGACTCTGTTAGCCCACAGTCATGTTCCCAAAAAATATTGGTCATTTGCCTTCGAGGCGGCAGTTTATTTAATAAACAGAATGCTGAACTCGGTTTTACAAAATAACAGTCCATATTCACATCTTTTTCATAAGTTACCAAACTACAAAATGTTACGTGTGTTTGGGTGTGAGTGTTTCTCGTGTCTACGCCCTTATAACATACATAAGATGGAGTATCAGTATGTTTCTTGTGTGTTCTTGGGCTACCCCGATTCTTTTAGTAGTTACAGGTGCTTGGACAGGGCAACGAGACGAATATACATTACCCGACATGTAAAGTTCAACGAGGATGTCTTCCCGTTTCAGACTACTGGTGATTCCTCTGAAAGCTCTTCCGCCGGCGCCGCTGAATTACCCTGGGCGATCGCCCAAATCTATCAACCTTCCACTGCCGGTGTTGGAATCCCACCGCCAGTATTGCCTCAACCACCGCTGGTTGCACCAACAGGAAGTGGCGTTGTTCTCGTACACTCCATGCACTTTTTCTTCGTCTGCAGTCGGAGAGACTTCCTCGTCCTTTCAGCCATCCACCTCGTCGACTGCCACAACAAGGTCACGAAGGAAACGCTCTCCGACACGAACCCATGGCATGCAACTATGGACGACCACGCATCAACAGCGGTCACGACGATGAGCCAACATGCCATTCTCAGGTCGTGAAATGTTCGAACTGGCGTAATGCTATGGATGCTGAGTTCAATACCCTCCTGCAAAACCAGACTTGGTCATTGGTTCCATTTGTAAATTCAATGAATGTAATAGGTAGTAAATGGGTGTATCGCATTAAACAAAAATCGGATGGCTCTATCGATCGATACAAAGCTCGTCTGGTTGCCAAAGGGTTCAACCCGATCCCAGGTGTCGACTATCTTGAGACATATAGCCCTGTGGTCAAACCGGCTACAATCTGGCTCTTATTAGCCTTTGTCGTCTCCAACGAATGGACTATGAGGCAACTGGATGTCCATAATGCATTCTTAAAGGGACACATATCTGAGGACATATATATGTAGCAGCCCTCGGGCTATATCAATCCTACCTACCCCGATCATGTCTACAAGCTTCAACGATCATTATATGGCTTTAAGCAGGCTCCTCGGGCTTGGTTCACAAGACTTCATAATTTTTTGGTTCAAGTTGGATTTCGTCCGTATAAAACAGGCACGTCGATGTTTATTTACAATTCTGGACAGGTCCGCATCTACATTCTGGTGTATGTCGATGACATTCTCGTACTAGGGAATGATGCTGCACAAGTGGAGTCTATGCTCACTCAACTTGCTTCAACATTCAAGATCCATGACCTTGGTCAACCTCGCTTCTTTCTCGGCGTTGAAGCCATCTACACCACTTATGCGGTCATTTTATCCCAACAGCGCTACATGACTGAACTACTCCGCAAAGCAAGGATGGATTCCTACAAACCACTTGCCACGCCAATGACATCCCCCACAGCGAACTCTTCTAGAGAATCACCATCTTTGGATGATCCAACAGTTTATCGTCAGCTGGTTGGCTCACTAATGTATTTGCTTATAACTCGTCCAGACTTATCTTTTGTTGTCAACCGGTTGTGCCAATTTATGCATAACCCGACGCAAGATAATTGGGTTTCCCTAAAACGTGTCTTGCGGTACATCAAAGGTACTCTGCATCTTGGTCTTCGCCTGACAGCTTCGTCATCGCTAGTAGTCCATGCCTTCTCCGACTCCGATTGGGCCGGCTGCTCACTTGACCATAAGTCTACTGCGGGCTATGCGGTGTTTTTGGGTCCCAATTTAATCTTGTGGTCCTCCAGAAAGCAAAGGACTGTGACTCGGTCCTCAACTGAAGCTGAGTACAAAACACTTGTAGATGTGTCTGCTAAGGTAGTCTGGATTCAATCTCTTCTACGAGATCTTGGCTTACAATGCTCCACCACACCGGTCCTCTGGTATGACAACCTAGGTGCAACCTATCTCTGTTCAAACCCAGTGTTTCATGCACGGACTAAGCATGTCGAAGTCGATTATCACTTCGTCCGTGATAAGGTCTCGACTGGAGCTCTTAAAGTTAACTTTGTGTCCACGCACTATCAACTAGCAGATATTTTCACCAAATCCCTATCTGTCTCTCGGTTCGAGGATCTCCGCTTCAAGCTTGGCGTTGTTCCATGTCCACCGTCCGCTTGAGGGGGGTGTATTAGGCAGTTAGTTTATCTGGCTTGTTAAGTGCTATTCTTTAGGTATTTTCCTATTAGTATGCTAGTCTATGTGTATAAATACCGTGTATCTTCTTTAGTGAATAATACATACAATACACAGAGATTTACTTCATCAATCGACATAAATGTTAAACATATACTATGAATATGTTAGAGTGTATTAAAAAAATACAATATAAAATTTAACATGAACTTTGGTCAATTAATTAGAATCACGCATTCGGCATTGATGGTACACCTAATTTACAATATATATTCAACACATATGATAAACTATGCATATTATCATTGTCTTTTTGGGGAAGGAGGATTTGGTTCTATTTTTTAGGTGCACTGTGCCAAAGAACTAAATTGCAGTGAAACACACCAGGGGACTAGATCAAATCAGGAATTCATTTCTGGCGGAAGTGGCAACAAGAGGAAGCATGGATCACGCCAATTAATAGAATTTTGTGTTGCAAAATTATGCTTAGGATACAATCCAGTGAGGGTGCTTCCCTCTAAAATTGCTATTGCAACAGTTAATCCAGCATTTCTGTCATAGGTCATAGTTATGCGTTTTTGAAATATTTACTTTTATGAAAAATTTGATAATCTTGCATTTCTCCAGCATATTGAATGATATTTTGATAAATTCTAAAACACTAATTTAAAAATACACATTGAGCATCAGACTACTCCCGCAATGGGCGTGTGATAACTAGCATAAACCTAATAAGAGCCAATAAAGTTAGGCCCATAACGGTAACTAAAATATGTTGGTGTAGTTGTTTATTGAAATGAATGGTTCATATTATTTTGTTTGTTACAAAGAGCATCCACAATGGATGGGGAGAATTGGGGGAGAATGTAAGAGTGATTAGGAAAGAGAAGATGGGAGGGAAGAGAAAAAAGGGAAAAAAAATTGCGAAACAGAATTTTTAAAAAAAAAAGAATATTTTATGATTGTCAGGCGTGCCTGACGCGCCCGCTGGGCGCATTGGTGACAGCCACGCATGGCTGTCACCACTGGTATAAATTGTGGTAGGTCCCACAAATTATGAATTCTCCCCAACCTTTACAGGAGCAACTCAAATTTCTCTCACCTACACTCTCTCTTCCATGTAGATAAAGTTTTCATGTGTACCGTGAAATCTTCTTTGGTGTGGATGCTCTAACTTTCCAATTTTGCCCCTCAAAAGTAGATGTTATTTGTACAAAGTACAATTGTACTTACATCATTAATTGTCTAAAAATTTGAAAAGTCAAAAGGGTAAATTGGGAAATGTAGAATGATAGTTATGTTCAATTTTAGAAAGATGACACTATTTTGGGACAAACAAAAAAGGAAAATAAGACACATAAAATGGGACGGAGGGAGTATTATTTTTCCTACTTTATCCTCTATTATATCAGTTATTTTTCCTATATACCCATTCATTCTGTCAGTGTAAACTTTAGTAACCAAATATTCCGTTAACTATTTATTATTCTTAACTTACTCATTGATTTTCATAAGGAATGTCTTAGGTTCGAACCCCATCTAAATCAATATTTACATAATTGTTAAACATATACTATGAATATGTTAGAGTGTATTAAAAAAATACAATATAAAATTTAACATGAACTTTGATCAATTAATTAGAGTCACGCATTGGGAATTGATGAAACCGTATACCTAATTTCAGTATATATTCAACACAAATAAGAAATTATGTCTATTATCACTGTCTTTTTAGAGAGGGAGGATTTGGTTCTGTTTTTGAAGGTGCATTATGCCAATGCAAGGCACTAAAATTGTAGTGAAACACACTAAGGGACTAGATCAAATCAAGAATTCATTTCTGGCGGAAGTGGCAACAAGAGGAAGCATGGATCACGCCAATTAATAGGATTTTGTGTTGCAAAAACTATACCAAAAATTGAAGAGAGGATTACACTGTATTTTCGTTTATCCCAAAATTTGATAATCTTGCATTGATATACGCCAGGATACCGAATGATATTTTGATAAATTCTGAGACACTAATTTAATAATACACATTGGACATTGGAGTATTCGCGCAATGCGCGTGTGGTAACTAGTAAATTAAATATGTATTAATATTTTTTAGTAACGGCGGGAACCCACACAGTAATACAAAAAGGAGCAAATAAATATCACTTTAGGTTACCCTTTTAAAAGAAATGAAGTGCATTGTTTAAAAAATTGTATGGTGGCATAATCGTAAATAAATTAATAAAAAAGTATCGTCATTTCTAAATAAAAGGCACGCGGTTTCCATAAAAAAAAAAAAAAAAAAAAAAAAAAAAAAAAAAATCGCTTTGAGTTTCCGTGACCCTTTCTCCTAAACTCGTCTAATAAAATTTAAATAAAAAAAGGTATACACTTTCCGTGAACCTTTATGGGAGAAAGGGTCGTGGAAAGTTATTAGATGAGTTTTAAGATCTCGGAAAATAATAAGTTTTCATATCGCGAAAAAAATATTAAACAAAAGGGACGTTGTTGTTTTCATCTCCTTTCTGCTCCTCTCCCTCATATGTAAAACCTATTAAGAACAAGTGTAAATTATATTTTGATGATATCAAACGACTTAGGAAATTTAGTCTCCAATTCTTTTTACTCTTTTAGACTTAGGAATTTTTTCGTTCAGTTCGAACAGTTCCAAAGAGTCTGAATTGTAACTCGAAGAGTTACACTTCGAATAGTCACTCTCATACAGCAGTCAAAGAGGACGATGAGCTATGAAGAGTGGAGGCAATGAAGAGTTGAAGACGAAGAGTAGAATACTTAGAAGACCGAAAGGTTACACTGGCCGAAGAGTGAAAGGTCCAACCTTACCAAGTAGTGGGATTCAGAGAATTAACTTAGAGAAGAGTTAACTTATTCGAGTAATAGGAATGAATATTCGATAGTCATCTCCGAAAGGTTACGAAAGGTTATGATACGAAGAGTTAACTCGAAAGGTAAAAGTTGACCTCTCGGATCTACTGTTCGAGACATTCTCTGAGCCAACAATTCAAAACCTTAAAAGTCAGGAACTTTATGCGAAGTGTTACCAAGGAAATTGGAGTCCTAGGTACACATCCCAATGAGGATTTTCTTTTAAAGCCTACACAAAAGGTGCAGTACAAAAAGTAAAGTGTAGTAGGTAAAGGCCTGTCAAACGATTGGAAAATCTTACATAAAGTAACCTTTCGCAATATCCACTAGTCATTACCCACGAGTAAAGAGACGTTTGAAATTTATCTCCTTCCAGTGGATTTATTTCAAATGCTACTATAAATACCTTAAATCAAGACTAAAGAAGGTGTTGGTCTTATTATTGGAAAATATCAAGTGATTCAAAGCGTTCTAAGTGTTAAGAAACTGGCCAATGATAGAAGAGAATAGAGCTACAAATTTTAGATCAAGCTCAGACTTTGGCTAACATCAAGTGAAGATTCAAGTGCCAAGTCTACAACAAGTTGGAAGAATCAACAATCTGTTGTTGTAAAATTTGTATCTCTACTCGGTGACAAAGAAAGAGGCGGATTAACAACCTAAAAAGCTTGAAGCCACTATAAAAATTTCTCTCTCTGTCTCTCTCTCCCTCCCCATCTCCCTCTCCCTCTCCCTCTCCCCACCCCCCACCCCCCCCCCCCCCCCCACTCTCTCCCTCTCTCTCTTACTACAAAGTGCATTTAACGATATCTTTAATTACAACGAATGTGAAAGTTAATTGCTCTCAGGGTTCACCATTTAAAATTTATGGATTAGTTTTTCTTAATTTGGTTTAAGGGTTCACCTTTTTACTATTTAGGAGTTTAGTATTTATGATTTAGCTTTGGATTTAATTTTCTAGTTTGCTTTTCTAGATTTATCAATATATGCACTTTGTAATTTAATTTACTTGCACTCTATAGTGTTTAAATTGGCACTCTATAGTGTTGATAATGGCACTTTAAAGTTCAAACTATTTATAAAAATGACATTGCATTTTTTTTCTATAATTTTTTTTTATTTGTTAGGTCTTTCTAGATAGACGACTCTGATTGGTGCTGTGCTCTGTAGTTTAACTTACTTGCACTCTATAGTGTTGTTAATTGCACTTCAAAGTTCAAACTATTTATAAAACTAACACTGCATTTTTTTCTATAATTACTTCTGATATGTCAGATCTTTTAGTTGTCTTTCTCTCTCTCTCTCTGTAATGGCTTTAAATCAAGGAAAAATGGAAAAATACATTTGTAAATAAATCAAACTTTAAAATGCAATTAACAACACTAAAAAGTGCAATTAACAAGTTCATGAGTGCACCTATCATATGCATAAGTGCAGTGAACATATATATATATATATATATATATATATATTTTTGTAGTTTTGATTAGTTACACTCTATAGGGGTGGGTTCAAATAAAAACAACCCTTATAAAAAGTGAAGACTAATCTTATTCTCAATGGTTAAAGATCGATTTAGTAAAAAATAAATAAAATTACATGGTCAATTTCATAATCATTGCAACATTCAAATTTACAATATATATTTATAAAACTAATCCCGTCATTTTTCCCTTATTGTTACACAATTCTCAACCAATAATCTACCCAAATGAATGGCTTTTATGAAATTTTTTTTTTCTTAGATAACTTGTTTATTATATCATTTTTAAGTGTTTTAAAACCAATATAGAACAATAAAATTGTCAAATTATCATATTGTCTTAAAAATTAAAGTTAATTAAATAAAATTGTAACAAATGATCAAATGTATGTAATAATATTAACAAAATTACAAGACTAAATATAATTAAAAAAAATTTATTTATTTTTTTTAAAAAACAAATATTAAATATAACAATATAACAGCTCGTTGGATTAAAAGCAGAAGTTTATCTTCCCTATGCTACACATTATGATGGGCAGTGCGGAAAGTCGGAAACAGTACAAGGAAAGGGTTTACATACAACCGCCAAAATGGTGCAGACCACGGGATTCTTGTGCATGCATGCCCCAACTTCACTCCCTCAGCTCAGCTCTGCCAAACTTTCAATTCAATTTAATTAAAGCAAAAGCATATAATTTTGGTTTCTTTTCTGATCTCCCCCCTTTTTTTTAGGGATAAAGTACAAATAAGCCACTGAACT